TTTTTTTTTTTTTTTTTTTTTTTTTCCATTGTGGAGATTTTCGGGGGAAGTTTTTTCAGTCTTTAAGAAAATTGGCTTGAACTTTTCCGAAAATTCGCCATTAGTTCCCATTTACGAAAAAAACGAACGGAGTTTCAAAATCCATCATTAGATTACTTTAAAGCTTATGTGTCAAGAGACGCATTACACAATGAAATTACATAAAGCAAAATTTAACGAGGCAGATACTTAAAAAATGTGTTTTTGAAAAATCAAAAGAATGCATCAAAATGGCAATTATGCCATAGAGTGCATTTAGCACTACTCATACAAAACATTTGAATAAACAATATGGAGCCGTTCGTGCGAAAATCTTGTTTTTAATATTGATCAAATTTAAATCTAAGTTGCTCGAAAACTACGATTTTCACAGAGTAAAGAACAAATTTCATTTCATGAAAACACAGCTATCTTCAATATTGTAGTTGAAGGAAGACGCCTAAAAATTAAAACTTTAGTAATTTTCAAAACTGCAGATTAAATAGTGAACATTGGACCTGTGCAATCTGTTACAAAAAAATTGGGATTATTTTGTAGACAATTTTGAAAATGCCCTACGTAGTCTCAAATTTTAAAGAATGTTTCTTAAACTCGCAGAGCTTCGAGTCGGACTACATCGACAATGGAAAATTCATTTTGAAAACAATCCTACGAATGGTTTACGCGCTAGTGTTGTTCACAGACGGACAGATGTTTTGAAAAACCTACTTTTTCGGTATTAAATATTCACAATTTGTGAAATCTGACTATACAACTTGTTAGAAATAGTAATTTAATACATATTGGAACAGAATTTATCCAGTTTTCCCGCATCAGCGCCGCACAATACGAGTTTTACTATCGAAACACTGTTTTTGCCGCAGTTTTTTCTCTTCACAGCGTATTTTACTCTAAACAACCAGTGACGGATTCGGAGGGGGGATGACCCCACGAGGCGTAGAGTTTTCGTTTGTTACCTTCTTTTATTTGGCAAAATTGATTTAAAAGATATACATATCACAAAGAACGTAAAATGGGGACTAATAGCTCACTTGCGAAGTGATCTGCACCTTACCGAGGAAGTGGATGTGAGAAAAGGACCTAGGGGTGTATCCTTGTTCTTTCCCGTATTCAAAACATGTTTTAAACATGTCTTAGAGAATTGTAATCTGGGAATAAAAGTGAATGGTATTCCTATTTTTAAATATAAAAGACAATGTTTATTTGTTGGTTCATAGTTAATGCGCTACCTACCGTTCATGCGACTGTGATAAAACTTTATCAACTTATTTCTTGCACTTCCAGGAAGAATATAGGCATAGAACGATAGCAATGCCTGCGCACATAAACGTGCGTTGATCTTGTTGACTCAAGCCCCCTGAATATGGCGCTCTACGTAATGGCGCTTGCCGCAACCCGTTGCACACTGAAGTACGATTATAAAGACGTCTTTATTGCGTATTCTGCCCCTGCGATTGTGAAATTTCTCGCGAGAGAGACATACAGAGAAGCAAACAGAAACAGGGAGACAAAGAAAGACGGAACCACACTTTCGTCTATTGAAATTTTTACAGAGCGTAGGGTAAAACGTGATTAACAAGCACGTGACCAGTAGCATGTCAAGTGTAATACATTGCAATAGCGAAGCATTGCCGCGTTTACTAGTTTCTAATGTACATTATGCAGATGATATACTAATCTTGGCAAACATCGCAACGGATTTGCAAGAAATAATGAACAAAATAAATCGAACTTGCAAAGATTATGAATTAGAAATACATGGACTTAAAACAAAGTCCATGCTAATTAGTAAGAAAGCTAGAAGACCATTTCGGCTGTTCATCAATGATGAACTTATTAAACAGGTTTCTGAGTACAAATACATTGTACATCATTATTGGAAATAAAAACTAAATTAAAATAGAAAGATTCACATTCAACAAAATGAAATATCTATATAGCAGAGACTTGAGTTTTACCCTCATATGGAGTGGCAAAATGTTATGCAGTTGCAGTTCTCTTATACGGCACAGAAACATGGACACTGAAAACACCATCAATTAATAGACTGGAGGCATTTGAGATGTGAATGATTAGGAGAATGTTGACAATTCTCTTGACTGAGGAGATTTATAATGACTATATACTACAAAGAAATGATATATGCCAAGAGATATTAAAAATAATCAAAATTAGAAAAACACTGTATCTTGGTTATTTACTTAGAAACGCAAAACCAACTCTTGCAACTGATTGTGATGGGGAAAGATCACGGCAGATGAGAAATTGGCAAGAAAATGTCCTGGCTAGCAAATATCCGCAAATGGTCTGGTATTTCGAGTGCATCTGATTTGTTTCATTTGGCACAAGACAGAAGTTTGGGAAAGTCCCAAATCTTCAGTAATGGAGATGGTACTTCAAGATAACATTTTTTAAAACGAGAACTTTAAATGGTGCCATGTAAAGTTTCTCGAAAAATCGAAAGTTTTCTGTGAAAACTAGCTTCAAATTGATAATTTTCATTAATGCACAGTCACTTTTTTCAAAACGGACCCCAATTGTTTCTTTAATTTTTCTATGAATAGTGATAAATTCACTGTATAAAATGGCATTAATGCCATTTTGCAGTATTCTTCTCTCTCATCGATAGTGATTGTTAATGGCTTTACATTACAGCCACTTCTTATACATTATCACATTTGTGAGTACAAATGCTCAAATCAAAGTTTCTCTTTAAAAAATCTTACGTTTTGGGTGAAAAATGAGCTTGCAGATAGGCCCACACGTTTGCTTAGAAACTGCTCCAATTTTTTCAATGAAACTGCTTTTAGGGCCATTTTAGCCTTCTCTAAAATGAGTAATAATTTAATTCTACTATAAGAGATCTGAAAGATTTTGTAACGTGAAAAATATATCTTTAAGGCACCAATAGATGGCAGGTGAGAAATGGATGGGGCAAGACCTAATAGATTCTACTCATTAGGATTGGTTGAATTAGAATATATTTTTGCTTAACATTAGTTACTTACAATCCAGGCAGACAATCGAAATAGTCATTAGGATATTCTCTACATTCAAATGCAAGTAATTTTGTGGCCAATCGTGGGTACTTTGTTTTAAAGTACACTCAAGTTTTTAGGCCCAGCAGTGCCATGATTTATTTTCAAGATTTGTCCTCTCTAATGGAATATTTTTTCTTAAGAATTTCATTTCTGCATTAGCATCTGTAATAGTGAGAATATGATTGGCATATGGACGCAAATTGTTGCAAAATTTTATTCTAATCTCCTTCCAGAATATCCTTATTTAACTCAAATTTGGTAGAGCTCTTGACCCTTTGCATAAATATTTCATTTAACAAAATACCAAAGCATCTACTTTTATAAGAATACAATGCAGTTGATGGTCATATATTATGACATTGTGTAAGTTTACAACTGAATTTAACATGCATATTTGTTTTTTAATGGATTTTCCGACAAAATGTTATAATTAGCCGAAAGTGTTAAGAAAAGACAATGTCTACTCTTGCTTCATCCTCTATTCTGAAATGTCACAAGAAGTACAATGCCAGTTTTAGAAAATCATTAAATATCAAACATACTTTAATACCCTTTATCCATCATAAAGAAGTTTTCTAGCAGTCATACTTCATACTTACGATATATGGAAATAAAAAAGACATGCAATGAACAAGAATTTATATAAAAGTAACAGTGCTACAGTGTTTTCCAAATTACAATATGTTGGATTTACAAATTACAATTACATTGAACAATCTGGAATGTTTGAATCTTGGAATGCAGTCACATTTGGAATGTTATGTAAATAAAAATTGTATCCAACAGAAATACAATCACAGACATTTCATAGATGATTATCTCAGTCAATCCAAACGACTAGACCATTAAGTACATGAGGTTTAGCTTTATTACACTTATTATCACAACTGTCCATTTTCATTTTGACAGCAAACTAAAGCTCTTGAGAATGAACATGTTTTATTTATGTTAAATGTCTGAAACAACATCCAACATTACTCCTTTGCAAACAAGAAATGATCTGTGATAATTAATCATTTTTTCTGCATATACTGAGTATAAATTACACTACATTAACATCATTATTATACACATGAAATAACATGACAAGGTCAATAAATTTTGTCTACAGAACTTGAAACTTAATTCTCATTAGACAAATATAATCAGTGCAAAGTTGAGATCTTAATAGAATACACAAACAGTATTTCATTCAGACATTCTATATTCTACATGAACTGCTATTCCACTTATCCTACAATCAGGTTGGTGGCACATTTATTATCAAAATTTCTGCATACGTCAATCAACACACCACCATACAAAAGCACAAAACTTTTGTAAGATTTTTGCTTACATGTAATTTGAATTGTTTCGTATTTCCACATTTTACACAAAGTACATTTTTATAACAATTATGCACAAAGTGGCATCATTTGATAAGTCTACAGAATTAACAACAATACCTCTCACAACCAAATTTACTTACATAGTATGGCAGTGAGTGATACATTACAATCATGCATTTACATTGTCAGCTGTACAGAGAACACTTACAAAATGTATATCAAACGCCCTCACAAAAATGGTTTTGCACATCGCAGTTCAGGTTTAAAAAGCAGAACAATTAATCAAGTTCACATTTATTATTATTATCGTCATCATCATACCTAGGAGTGCCAAGCTAGTCATTAAATTCACTTGCAGCATATTGACCAGATAAGGCACATTTCACGTTCAGTCTTACGAGAAGAACATTGGATCTGCTTAGACAGAAATTTCCAATTGAATCTCATGATAATTGCAATATTTCATGAATTTTTATATGCATTCTAGCTACTACAAAATTCATCTGAAGAAATATAATTTTCTAATCAACAGGCTTTACATGCTTGAATAAACAAAAAATACTTTATTCAATATGAATGCAATTTTAATAGTTGAGTGAAACTAAAATCTCCATAAAACAATGATTGGTTATAATTTCAGAATACTTTTAGAGCTTTAAAATTTATTGTGAATTACTGTCAATTATCAACAGAACTACAAAAATCAGTATGAATTTTTAGACATTTCAGTACATTCAATTTACACAAAACATTTGAAAAGTTTACCTTGCTTGCTAAAGTAATCAGAACATTTCTAAATGCAACTGAAGGCAACTTAAGAAATATGTAGCTGAACCAGAGTTCCAAAAGAACACTTAATTCCTGGAATCTTGTCATCTTTTCTGAACATCATGTACAGCTGAAGAATGATTCATGGAATGAAGATTCTCTAGATACTTATCAAAAGAAAATCTTAAGACTTTAGTGTAAAAATTGGAAAAGGAAATTAAATTTCCAGTAATAGTATAGAAGAAAAAGGTCTTGAAATTTTAGTAAAATGATCATTCCCCTGAGATCATTATCAGAAGTATAGCAAAAATAAAAGCAAAGAAATGCTTGTGACACTTGAATATATGAAAATACACATACATTAATGTGTATTCTCAACTATTCACTCTATGCAATCAACAGACATTAATTTCACTAGAAATCGAATACACAAAATGTAAATATTAAAATATCCTACAGCTAAACAATTCTCTAAATTAACACAACGAATCTATAAATTGATATGAAAGTTATAATATTTAGAAGCAAAAAATAATCCTCTATTTATCACAATTCAGGATGATTATGACAGAAAAAATTAAAAGGAAAATTAGGCCGTAGTATAAAACAGTTCTATTATATGTAGTTTCTCCCTAAACTTGCAGGAAACAACATTGAAAAGAAATACCTAGAGGAAATTTGATTAACTTTTCATTTAAGTTAAAATTTAGAAAATGTAACATGATCTATTGAATACAGCTACGAAGAACCCTCAAAGGGAAAGAAGAATTTTGAAGAATACCTCTAGAATATGAATTCATAATCTGCACATGCACAAAACAAATTGAGGTATTCTCCACGTACCACTGGAACAAATGTTGAGTGGAATGATAGTTTTAGAAAAACAATAGTAACAAGGCTCGATAACTGTATAAATATGCTACAAAAATCAAACTGGAATCTTTAACTGAACAATAATTCATGTTTTACATAAATAGGAGAAATATATTTTAGGCCATTATGAAGCATTAGGAGATATGAATGACTTCTAAATGCACGTCTAGAATTGTTTCACTAGTGAAATGAAAGAGGTAAGGAACACTTAATATTTAATAAAACCCTGTACACTACATCTATCACCCAGAGTATCTTCCCATTGCAATTTTCATATCAGCTCTATTACTTATTTATTTCCAAATTACCTGTAAATGCCTTTATTTTTATCATATGAGTAAGTGATAACCTTTCCAGAGGCAATTCATATAGTGTAAAGTCCTATTGAAGTAATTTCCACATGGACCCTCATATGAAACAAGTTTTCTTTAGTCTCAATATACTATTTATATTTGAACATGTTAACCTGCTCAATTTTATACTTCAAATTCTAGATGTTAATGTTATAAGTTTTCAAGAAAACAGCCAGTTTGCTGTACGACTGAAAATGGTCGTGCTTGTATTACATGCTGCATACTATAGAAAAAAGTCAAACCCTGCAACATTAAAAAGCACACTTTAAACAATCTTTTGGAAATTCTGGGTATTGTACTGATAATGTATATGAAAATACATGGAGCAGGTTTTATAACTAACTTTAGGGAGTAGATGCAAGGATAACAGACCTTTGAATCTTTTCTAAACTAGTAAATGTAGAATATAAAGTGGTTCTAATTCATTCAAAATGAAGTCTCTAATTAATTGAGCTTGCAATTTCAAACAGAAATCCCACAAATAAGACCAAAATACAAAAACTCAAAAATAAAGAAGAAAATATTATCAGAATATGTAAGAGTATTACAGAGATAATGCATAATGCGCCAACAGAGGCACGGAATTTGCTTCAGAATATGACTTTAGTTTTATTATAAAACAATATTGAAGTTAGTTTGCAGTACAACTAATTTTCACAAATTGATGTCAATTTACATCAAGTCTGAATAAATGTGTTTAAAGTGTGCTCATTTTAATGATATCATCAACACATTAAAATTTTGTAATTTTGAGAATTACTTTCCAATTACAGAAAAAAATTAATGTATTTGATATAAAATTGATAATCTTCATACAACATTTAACATACAAAGGAATATTAAAATTATATTCATAAACACAAAATCATATAAGCAAGTGCGGAATGAAATGAAAATTGCTGCATAACATATTACAGAAATTGGGCCATAACTATTAATTACATTTTTTTAAATGCATATTCGGAAAAATTAAAACATCAACTCACTTTTTAAAAGTAGTACTTTCATGCCCCTGTTGCATCATTTACCAGACTCAGAAATTTTCAACAAATAAAATTTATATCAATGCCAGAGTTTCTGGTACTCGCTTATCACATTTCTAAATGGATATCTCAAATGAGATTAAAAATAACTTAAATGGAGTCAGAACTGAGGTGTAACTTCGAACAACCTCCAAAGAAGTTAGTAATGTCACAGTACTATGTTACAAGTACACATGTTGACACACAATCGCCCCTGTGATTACTTCAACATGTAATTGCAAATATAAATATATTTAAGAAACAGTATTATAGAGCATGAAAATTATTTCATCAAGAAATCGCCCTGGTTTCACGACTGACTGATTCACAAACATTCTTTTTTGAAATCAAGATTTATGCCTGTAATTCAATAAATGCTCTGAGATTGCAATTATTAGTGCACAACAAGAATCGAATTTGAGTTGATTTAGTAATTCATTTCCATAAATAGGTAAGGAAGATTGATGATACAGCATATTGCAATATCCTTCAATTAGATCGTGTAAGAGCAAGTTGCTAATACTATCAACAAAGTAACACAAGGAAATAAGAATATCCCCGCAAAACAAAGAGAGCAGCAAATTTATCACTGCCTATTGATTCTAAAAAAATATTTGTGACTAAACTTGCTGGTTGTATCTGCTAAAATACAAAACAAACGAGAACAGCACTGATGTTTGTGGATGTTAACCCCAATCAATTTATATCACTTAGTAAGTAAATGGATACTTTTATGTCATCAATGAATTCATTATCATTATATATTAACCATTGGAAAAAAGAAACACTATAGTTATTTAACAGTCTTTCAATTATAATAGTTATTTCTTAAATATGCATCTGAAGACCTTGGAGACATTAAAAACTATAAGTTGTACTAAACGTCTTTGTGCTGACAATTGAGAGACACGTGACAATGCCGACAGTTCCTAGTGACAAGCAATAGAAGCAGCTTTTCTAGTGAAGTAATCTCCCCTTGTTTCCACAAATTCAGATTGAAAAAATTAAGGGGATAGAGCTTTGTTCCCGTTCAGTTTTTGCCAGACATTCAAGACATCCCATTTCAAAATTTCACATAATTACATGTAACCAGACAGTAATCAGTACCAAAAAGGTATCAGACTGAAATCATTTACCACAATTAATATTTGCCTTAGATTGCAAGTGAAAGATCAAACAGTGCAAAAGTGGCAGAAGCAGTAAAGTGTGGCAACACTGCCTCTGCTGAGGCCCAACTGTCTAACACAAAGAAGAACTGTACAATGAATAGTGCAATACATGACTACACAATGCTGACAATAGAAGGCTCACTATCAACTAACACCTGATCATTAACCATTTTGTACAGATATCTTGAAATTGCATACTGCATCAGAAGTAACAAAATACATCAATATGAGCATTGATGTTCTCCTTTAATTAATGATTATGCTAATTTGCAAAGATAATCTCACAATTAAACCCTGTTAAGTGAACCAGTTTTCAACATAAGCCCTACAGAAGTCAAGTCAATTATTGCTAGAATACACAGAGTATTCTACTATACACAGAGTACAGAGCACCAATGAATGCTTTTAGCACAAGACCAATCGAGTAGGAACCAAGTTCAATTTCAATATATTTCAAATGCAATTATGAGTTATAAATTGTTATGTTTTCCTGCATCAGATCTGGAACACATTAAGAAAACGGATGGACAATTAGATACAGGAGGAATACTACAATAATATAACTTTCCATCACACCATTTCATACTTCTTAGACATGAACCTAATCACTATTCGCAAGATAGTTAAATGAAGCTTATATAAGGATATCTGTAAACATTACAACCCACTATATTTTTCCATCTCTAGGGTTAAGGAGCACAGATTATTACTAAAACTATTTAGGCCTACTTCATATTCATCCAACATCACATCATTTCATCAATCAATATTTATACTACAAGAAAAAACTCGTTGATAAGAATAAATAAGCACAATAAAAAAATGTATGCATAATTTTTCAAACTAGCAAGAACTATGTGCCATGATGTCTCATCTATATAGTACAAGCATATATGCTAACAAATGCATAAGAATACATAAACAATGACAATAGAAGCGGATTGAAGTAGGTCATCTCAAAAATATACACAGTATAAGAAAGCACCTCTTCCTGGTTTTCAGCTCTTAATCACAGGCTTAAGATCCCAGCAACATGGTAAAATCACAATACCAAAGATCCAGGAAATAATTTCATAGAAACATAATCATCCACTATCTGCAAAAAGGAAATGTAAATTGTAAGTGGTAATGAAAAAATAATAAATAATATTAATATAACAACACATATTGATATATTACAATTTGAAATTATGTAATAGTAGAACCTTCATTTGAAAAATCATTGGGATTTTGTGTTTCTTTTTCATTGTAAATTGGAGTTGCAAACAACCTTAAAAAAAGGGATACCCTAAGATATTTTCATACTTTCACAATATTAATGTTTTCAGAAAAGTATTTCAAAATGAACATATTTTTTAAAGTGAATACAAAAAAAATCTTGTGATAGTACAAAGACGAGAAAATGTCTGTAGATTTTCAAAACATTTGTATTTTTATATCCTGCTTAGCATTGATGGTGCTAATTCCATTTTATCATTATGCATTTCTAGATTCCAGGTTGTTTTGTGTTAATGGTGAGGCCTAAGGCCAAGCACACATTGTCAAATTGGTTGTGCATAGGGAAGCAACTAAAGTATTCACCTTACATTACACCACCATTACGTTTTCTCAATTTAGTGAGTCAATTCCTCCCTGTGAGGTAGCATTAAGGAATTTCTTTAACAGCTTTATCATATTATACCTCAATTTAAATGCATTATCTTTAGCAAACATAACATGCATGTCAGTGCATGCTTGTGTCTCCTCAGGAGAAGCAAGATAGGCACAGCTAATCCCATTGAATATATACTAGGTTAATACATTACATAATAAAAAATAAAATGATTCTTGTAATTTTAATATGGCGTATGTATTATTCATCTAGAAATGTATGGACATTTTATTATTGTGGCATAAGCCACATTTCCATTTCAAACATTTTCCAATAGCTCTTGAGATATGTGCGATGTCTCGTCTCTTCCTACAGAGACATGTGCCCGCTTGCCCCTCTCGGGGTAGGCACACTTGGGTGCTGCCTCGCTTTGCATAGTTTTCTGAGAAAAGGCCCTGTAGTGAGCATACTTGAAGCATGCACATTGTGTGTAGGCCAGCAAATACCCTTGCTGCCTGCATGGAAGACTGATTCCCACTCACATGCAAGCTGCATAGCTTGTATATTTACTGTTTTGTTGAAGATTTAATAAGTGGAGAAAGTAATAATTATTAAGGAAGTTTTCTTTTTTTAAAAAAATTAGTACGCTAAAGATTATGAGTGTTACTTGATTATTTACATTTAAATCTGATTTTACGATAACATTAGAACAGATTGTGAATGAACTACTGTGTACACCTTCTTCTCAGCTTCACAATGTAGAAAAGAGAGAAATTTTGGACAATGGTTGTCATACTCCTATGTTGAGTATAGTTGTTCAATGTGCTGGCAGGGAAAATGCAAGAAAATTCAATCGTTTTTGGTATAATTCAGACAAATGGCCAACAGGTAGTGAAAAAGTTGAATTTTATTGTTGGCCATGACTTTTATTGTCAATTAAGGAGAGTTCTTGGAATAGAGATGAATATTTAGACATTAAAAATTTATCAAAACCATGAAACATAAAAAAATAACATAAGTAATTCAGCGAATCATAAACGCATAGAAAATAAGTTTGAATCCGGTATCTGAATTATTGTCTGGGCACTGTTAACTTGCAACACCTTTTCCGAATCTCAATATTTTGAAACCACGTCTGCGTTTGCTTCATGGAAATAAAGCGTTGGAATGAAATGATATCAGTTAAACAATTGTTTTGAATTCAATAAGATTACAAAAAACGAAATTGAGGCAGCACATCGCCCCCATACCAACTTCCCAGGATCCACCGGGGTTTGATAATCTGTTGCCTACCCTAAACATTTGTTAATAAGCTGCCACTGGCTTATGTACAAAACATGCCCTGTACAGTATGTGTAGTTTTAGGAAGGGACAGATTAATTTTTCATTAAATGCATTAAAAGCACATTAAAAGAGGATTGAACTGTACTTCAATAAATTACCTCTTTTAGCTTCTCCCTGGTTATATTAGGCACACTGAAAGTAAATCCTGTAGCCAGAAGTTTGCTATTATCAAGATACAAATGCTTGTTGTACAATAACTCTTGATCAATATATGGAGTTAAAGGTGTATTTTCTATTCCATTTTGGGAACAGGCTTCAGCCCAAGGGCCCATATGCTTATCATTCACTTCATCAACAACAGATTCCATATCAGCCTGCATAAATAAAAATTCAAGTTAAATGATTTTTTCTATTATGTGTTCTTATAATTAAATGCAGTTGGTAGATTTGAAAACAATTGTCAATAGTAAGCAATCACATCTCAAGTTGTTTAAGAGAAATATCATTGAGCCTATATAGGAACACTACCCTGTTTACATACAAAAATTCTGAAATGATTACTGTAATGTACAAAAACAATGGCTTGAAGTAGAGAACACACCCAAAATATTATTCATTTACACCACTTAAAATGCCATGCAACCGCCCTTAATACAAAAATACTTTACTAAGAGTGCAAATATTTGTCTGTTCCACATAATCTTCAATCAAAATGAATTAGTATTTAGTATCATTTTAAACACAAACTACGTCAAAATCTAATTTAATTACTGTTAGTAACTTACTTTGCAAACATTGGAAAGCATGGTTCCCCAGTAATCATGATTGATGTTGAAGATATCAGATACAAGATTACTAATGGTTCCCTGAGTAGAGTCACCTTGATCCACTATATTGTATATTTGCCCTATTGTATCATCTCGAGTAGCTAAGTGCCACAATGCTCGACATAAATCAGTAACATGTACAGTGTTCATCTTCAAATCTTTGGACCACAATAGCTTCATCATTTCCCCTAGGTGTTTGTAAACTGCACCAATGACTAGTCGTGGAGCTGAAAAATAAATCGTAATAAATTTAATAAGTAACTAATGATACCGGACATAATTTGCGTGAGTGTATGTTACACAAAGTCAAGATGTTAAATGCTGCTTATTGTTTGCTTTTAATGCTAATTTAAAAAGTATTGCACAGTCTTTATAGTTCACAGTCTAGCACCATCTTACTTTTGTAAAATATTATATCATCTTACTAACCTAAACCATGACGATCACCTAATCCATAAACAATACCAGGTCGCACAATGGTAAATTTCAACTCTGGAACTTTAGATAATTCTTCTTCCACCTGGTTCTTCCACTTGGCCACTAAAGTCCATGGTTCAACTTTGGAATCTTCTTTATAGGGCATCTAATAAAAGGAAACAGCAAATTGATGACAAATAAAATAATAGTATCCAAAATGTTAATGAAGACTCCAAAAGAAAGCCAAATACATTTCTAAGCTCTTAAAGGTCATTATTAATTTGACCAACTTCATTAACTTCGTAAACATTCACCATACCTTATCTGATGAGCACATATGACCAGTGGATACTTCAACAAATCTCTTAACATTTTGCTTTGCGGCTTCCCGAGCACAGTTTAAACTCAACTTCAAAATACCCTCTTTATAAACAGGATCAGTTTGCCCAGGTTTGGTTTCACAAGCACAGTTGAAAATATAATCATATGGTCCTTCATCAGATGCAAATGCATTTTGACAAGAGGCTGCAATTATCCATTCAAGTTATTAAAACTAGCACAATTGATAGCTCAAAATGATACAATAGTCAGTGAACGTTTTAATAATGGTTAATTAACTATTATCTAGTTACCTGGGTTTATTAAATTAGCACTTTTGAAATTAATAATTGGGTTGTCAAATATTTCTTGGTGCGTTCGATTCAGCCATGCTGTTTGCGGCGGAACTTTATCAACAATCCTTACTTCAGAGGCCAAATTGTTTGAAACCAGGAATTCGGCAAGGTTCCTTCCAATAAAACCGCAACCTAAACAGATTTATAAATATTTCTTTTTAAAAAAAATGAATTAATGTGATTAATCACAACTCATGACTGAATGTACAAGTACACCCAAAATCACACAAAAGCATTTACAGAAAATAATACGAGTTTATTGTTACAAATGACACAATGATTTTCCTGTAAAATGGTTAGTGAAATCATACCTCCTAAAATAATAACCCGAGCTTTAGTACTATCACCATGAACCGCCGCCATCACGGAAGCAACCGGAACCGGAAATGATATCATCAGATATTTTTGTTTCAGCGGCAACCGGGAGCGCTCCTCACGCTTTCACAATCCACATTCAGATATCCACTCTCCGAGGACCGATCATGATTATCATCTTTCCCATTAAAGGCCGAAACAATTGATAAGTTAGATAATTCTGAAAGAAAAAGATCTTATAACTGGATGATAATAATGTAAAATGTATTTTGTTGAATTTCCTTTCGACCTTGGCCACAAGAATACGTTATATTCGTGATTCGAATATCAAATTTCGTGCGTTTGCGCGGGATATAGAATTTGTTAATATTTTACTTACCGTCAACTTATTTCGCAACAATTAAAATTACAAGTGGTGGACTTTTATAACCTTGAACCCATTTATTCCAATCCATTCCTTCCAATTTCGTTGCAGATAATTAAAAACAATCTTTAAAATATCTGCGACAGTAATCCAATTAAAATACTAGTATTTAAAATTACATTACAATCCTAGATTAGTCACAGAGCTCTTTATTTATTTTTTTAATAAAGAAGAAAAATCTTTGTGGGAGTATCGCATGTTAATTAAGTAAATAAAGGGCTCAATGACTAATCTAGGATTGAATTGCAATTTTAAATAGTATTGTTTTTAATGGATAATTGGCGCAGTAATTTTTGTTATCCCGTATGACATTCTATTGGAGACTTTTTCACCGCGCCTAACATTGCTATAACCCCTATTGGGAAGTATAAGTGATTAAAAACAGAAAACATTACAAACATCAGATTTAAAAAAATTAAATTTACCGAAATAAACATTTCTATTTTGGGCTCATCAATTTTCTGGGTACTTTTCTCCTCCTGGAACGAAGGCATGGTAAGCGGTTCCATTGACTAAAGTTCCTTGTTCTCGCACGTTACACCCGTTTCATGTTGAAAGAGCATGTATTTTTAAGACACGAAGAAATGAAACTATGATTGACGCATGAATAAAAACGAATAGAAAACATAAAGGAAGCCCCAAATCAGGTATTAGCCCTAAGAAACTCCGAAACGAATGTATTACACAGAGAGTATATATCATTATTACATATGAACTTCGGTCATTCAAATATGAGCTGGAATTTTGTAACAGTGTTTTTGGTGATACACAGTAGCGTAACGAAATGAGTGCGGGCCCGCCCGCAAAACATTAATACGAGCCTCCTTTATAAACGTGTTAAGCTAATACAAGTTATGTTAGTGCCTTAAATAATAAAAATATCCCCTAAAACGGGCCCTCTTTTAATCGGGCGTTGCTGGCCTTGCGGGCCCGAACCCCCACTGGTGATATATAAAAATTCAAATGGAGTCCCTTGTTTTTCTCCTCAGTTTCTTTCAACACGAATACATTTTCTCCATCGCGTAGGAAACTTTCTGATTCCTTCATGGAGAAAAGAAGACGGCTGCCGCAGTAGCAGATTGCGAACCTACTGTTAGACCGCAGCTTCGTCTTTCTGTCCTACTATCTCGGGCGTCGCGGGGAGGGGTGAGACAAGGAATGCTGCCTTCCACAATATTTTTAAATACAATCAGTATACTGCGATTTATGCAAATGTGTCCCTGGCAGGAATCAGCTATTGACGTTTTCATTCAAGTGGGACCTTGAATTGAAGCTCACTATGGTGACGTTCAAGCTCCCGATTGGATGAAACTGGGGTAGACTTGATAAATCGAAGAATGGTTTTAATCTAACTTAATTGTTTACTATTTCTGTGAACTACTTGGATGTCTTGACATCTATCGGTTTGCTAAAGAGAAAGTATGGCAATTGTGCGTCAGAAACAGGCGTTTTTTCAACAAAAAAAGGTCTATTGTGTGACACTGATCTTGTAATTTCATGCACTGATATCGAAAATGTGGATATATCTTGTTCCTTTAAGAAGTAAATTACTTCCTCTAACATGTTATGTACTCAGAATAGACGTTTTGGAGGAATTTGTTACGGAAAAACCCACTGACAACTACCTGTCTGTCGACACCATAGCTAGACTGCTAGGTCGAATCCAGCCGCTGTCTGGAGATTTCTAGCGGCCGGCAGCTCTAATCGGTAGTTTTCCATTTCCGATCAACACCAGTTGAATGCCGGAGGAGTACCCTAACAAAAGGGCCACTGACCGCGCGCGATCTTTCCTTCCTCTTCCTTGTCCTATCCTCACCCCTTACTTACACACACACACACACACACTTACATGCACTACACTACCACACTTGTCGCGATCTTAGAGGACTACACTACACACTTGACCCGACTAGGACGGTGCCATGCTGGTGGGAGATACCTGGTTGGGGAAAGTTTCCGGAAGGCGACGTAGACCGAAACAGGATCTCGCCATCCAGAGTCATCCTACACTTATCGACCTTGACCTCAGCGATTGATGCGCGCGGAATCACTAACCAAACAATCAATCTAAAGTTTTTTTCTTCTTTATTCTCATTTCATTGTGTACAATGGGTTCGTGTTGTGACAAGATATTGGCTATAGTTCCATTAATATAGTACAATAATTTTAAAATTAACAATAACCTAATTGTTTAATAAGGTAAGCCCTACCTTCAGAAGCAATTTCATGGATCTTTAAGTGCGAGGGAAGTAGATGTATGAAAAGAAACAGATGAAACAAACTGGACACTTAGTTAAGCCACCTTGCTATCATTATTGACATCAGTGTGTCTCTCATCGAAAGAGGCAAATTATTAATTAATAATTTATGTGTATGGATATTATTTGCATGTCTTAAACAACATTTTATTTCACATATACTAGTATGTACAGATATATGAAGTGTGGAGGCAGTTAATACGGAATCCTTAAAAATATACGTCGAGATTTTAATTTTAATTTATGTACGGAAGCCCTGATACCGAAAAATGTGATGTTTTTTGTTTCGAAACCTCTGTCAGTCTTTGCTTTGACGAATAACGAAAAGACAGGCATAAAGAAAGAAACTAGCGCCAAAATCACATAGGATTTTCTAACAAAATAATATTCCCCAATTGATCTGGCTCGACAAGTTTTGCAAATCCAAAATTAATATTTTCATTTTAGGATACTTTACACAAAAGCCCAACATTTTTTTTTTATTTTATTTTTTTTACAAAAATGACTAACGAAGTCAATGTTTTTCTATAACATTACATGTAATATAGGGCAGAGTACGCTTATCAAATGGCACACGTCCAGTTAGAATTACAAATGTTTAAAATATTTTGACGGCGTGGGGACATCTACGGGCTAACCACACGTACTCACTTAACCCATGGGCGTGAGGCAGGGACGTCGCCGGTAGGCCTGAGTCCGTTCACTGGCTGCCGTCCCAAGTACATACATCACACATAAAATATTTTGAACTCTCTCCTGCAACATTATTGAAAAGGATTGTTCTTAATGAAATCTATTCTTGAAAATTGAACCATTAAATGACGTCGTACACAGTTTTTCAAGTTATCTGTAATTTCCACGTAAATTTTAATGTAATTGTAGCAATTAAAAATATCATACATAAACAAGATTCAATCGAGAATGGTACCGTACATACTTTCATTTACACATAAATACTGAGTAATACGTCTTCCAGAGCCCCCAGAGCACTCTGTTTTTTTTCGAAAATTGCAAAAAGGTAACATTTCAAAACTACAATGTTGAAGATAGAGATTTTTGCCTTAAACAAAATTTGTACTAAAAATCATCTCTTTAAAAAATACCATGTACAATTATTTGAAAAAAAAACGAGTCGTTTTCGCAATTTCTGTTTAAAATTAAAGCAAGATATAAAATACACTTTCTCAAAAACCGGCCAAAATATTTTCTTTACATTTTTCCACAAAAAATAAGGGACTCTGGAAAGAATGGTGCAGGTATCATTTTCGTTGCACTCTCTGAATTCTCGAAAATTACAAATTTAGAAATAATGCGAAAAAGCATAGGCTGTTGGAGCGCCACTATTGTCTTTAAGTTTTTTTAGATCTGTGAAGAATGAACAGTTGAACAGAATGAACATTGTTTAAATTATCTATCTTTATATCACAACAATGGATCGCAAAACCTACACATCCTATTTCCAAAAGTGTCACAGTTGAAGTGGTGAAAGTCTGTCTTGCATCACTTGATTTTTAATCATCCCTCCGTTTTTTAGAGTGCTATCATCCATAGGCTACACAACTTGAACGTACAACACTTCATTGCTAAGTAGGTACCACAATTCTTAGTTATATTATGTGGTTAACTACAAAGAAGAAAATACTTGGCTTATACCACTTGCCTCCTCAACCCCTCATACGTTTGGAAAGGGCGAAGAGGAGGGGGATAGACGTTCTCACTCCTTTACCAGGTGACTAAAAGTCTAGTTGGGCCACTAATTAACGGGTTTGAAATTGCGATTATATATTAGATATTACACTAGGGATTCCCAATCTTTTTCTTTCATTGACCCCTTTTATAAGAATTGTTTGCTTCACCGACTCCCTTACATATTCGTCTGTAAGATACAGCTTACACAATCATAACACAAAGCATTGCTCATGAATGACTTGATGATAACAATTCAACATACCAATATTGTAGTAAATATCTTCATTTTCAATAAACGGAGACGCTTCTGCATCTGCGTAGCCGAGTTTCTAATTTTCATTGTTGTGCAATGGTTACAAAATGTTGAGCTTTTTCTTTTAGAATTGGCCGTAATAACATTTTCTGTAATGAGTTTTGCGGAAAATATTTTCTTGCTTGATAGAGCAATTCAGTGAATACATAGCTATCATTACACCAATATTCATGTTGCATTTCGTGTTCACGTTACAACCGCAGCTCTTTCAATATATTAAGTCATTCGTCAATTATGCAACTCCAATCCAAAAGGAACTAGATTTGTGTGCAATGTGAGCTAACAGTTGATATTTTTTTAAATTGTGCGAAACTTCACAGACACATGTTTTACATAATATTTACTAGTGCTGAAGTTGTTCAAATAATTTGATGATGCAATACAATAAAGTTTTCATTTGAAAACAGTTTCGATGTCTATTGGAGCAGTTGCAGCAGCAACGGCGAATAAAGTTTTAGTGTCATCTAGGTCAAATAGATGTTATTTGCTTTATCT